TTTCTTTTCTACTCTTTTGGGTGGAATTCCCAAGTCGACAATCAATTAGCTAATCTCGAAAACTAATTTTTACATGGCTATGCCGAAGGAAGCAGCATGACTGTCTAGATTGACGTGAATGACCACCTCAAATTTACGTTTAGTAATATAAACCGTAAGAAATAAAAATAGAAAATTCAATATAATATTTATCAGTTCATAAAATCATCAACAACAGCAAATTAAAATAAGAGAGTATAGAGGTTGATGTTTGTGTTGAAACACACGATTCAAGCATACTTGATACATTTTCTCTTCCAAACCATGCTCCAAAATAATTTTAGTAGCAACTAGTTTAGGGGCAGACGAGTTTTACATCTCTTCACTTTAGACTAGATCACACCACGTATTAGTTAATGATAGTTGTGTCTCTGAAATATGCAAAAATCTTAATTAAAAATATTATTATTGTAGATAAGATTAGATAGAAATCATTGTCATATCTTCATGTAAAATTATTCTTAAAGATAAGATAGATAAAATTAGTTAAATTTCATCATCAAAAATTTGTTAATTATGATAAAGTGTCATTATAAAAATATGTAATATGTTTTCTTGGTAATATATTTTTTTTTTCTATAAATGAAATATTGTATTACAACTTAAATCAGACTTGATTGAATGAAATAAATATTTTCTTAAAAAATGAATTTCTTTTAATCTTTTCAATCTATTTAAAAATCTAAAATATATCATTCATATTACTAGTCTTTATACAAAAATACTATACTACATCACTCTATCATGTTACTATCTCAAAATCCAAAATCACGTGAATGATAAAAAATCACTTGGAATCTGAAAACATCACAGTAATAAAAATCACTTGAAATCTTTTTTTGGTATGAGAGGGGGCTTAAAAGCCCAACACAAAAAAGGAATCAGAAAACACCTAGCCTATCAACAGCTAGCAAGGGATGTAAGAAATCAGGAGGAGAATTATAAATAATAGACCCCTCTCCTAGCCAGGTTTTGTTTCTTGTTAGTTTATCCGCCACTATATTAGCTTCTCTAACAATGTGGGAACAGGAAAAGGCAGTGAAGCGTATAGCTAGGTCTTTAATGTCATGGACGAGCTCGTGGCAAGGATGGTCTCTATCACAACCTTCTTCGATCAATCTAACTGCCTCCACGAAGTCTGTTTCAACTAGCACTTGCCAGCCTAGGTTATGAGCTTGAATCATACGAATCCCTTGAAGTATGGCCCATAATTCAGACTGGATAATCGAGCATTGTCCTAGAGCTCTTGCAAAGGCACTAATGAAATTACCCTCTGAATCCTGAACAACTCCTCCGCAGTAGCCATGGTCGTTGTTGGCTACCGCTCCATCCCCGTTAAGCTTAATGTACCCCGCTGGGGGGCACCTCCAGACTCCATCAGAGTGGTCGGCTGCGTGATCGATCCCTGTGACTAAACATGGTGAGCCCGAAGTAATCGATGAAACTCTAGCTCTTATCTCCGAAGCCACTTGGTCAACTGAGATAGAAGAATTCTGGAAGATGAATTTGTTTTGACGGTGCCAAATAGAGTCGAGGGTTACCGCGAACGTGGTCGACCAATCTACAGCTCCTAGAAGTCTCTTTGTTAAGTTAACCATAACCCAGTTCTGAATGCTTCTGATTGTTGAGTTGCCTGCTATGCTTCCTCCAGGAATTTTGTTCCAAAATTCTCTTGCAAAAGGACAATCTCGCAACACATGGAGACTATCTTCTATCCTCTGTAAACAAATAGGGCATGTAGGGTCCGTTTCTAAGTTACGTTCAAATCGGGTTAGGTTAGTTAAAAGGCTATCGTGCACCACCCGCCAAAGGAAAGTGCGGATCCTCTCCGGGCCAGTCCATTTCCACACAGCTCTGAAAGTCGAGGGTCTAACGTTCCCGAGACACGTAGAAGTTACTTCGTAGGCCAACTTAATTGTAAACTCACCATCAGCTGTAGGGCCCCATATTATTTCGTCGGGCTCATCCTCGTTCCTAATGTGTTGGTCCCTAATTGTTTCTAAAGTCGTAACTGGAAGAAAGACTTGAAGGTGCTTGATGTTCCAAGCCCCTTGGGACGTAGCTCCTAACAGTCCTCATGAGTTCTGCAGGGGGTACAAAGGTTAAGGCTTGTTGAATAATCGAGGTGTGAGACGGTAGCCACACATCATACCAAAATCTAGTGGATTGACCATTCTTCACTCGCCAGCAGATATGAGGTGTTACAAAGTTCCAAGTAGCACATATCCCTTGCCACAAATTCGACATTTTGTTTTTCTTTCCCACCTAGGATATGGCTCCTTGGGGGCACTTATATTTAGATCTTACCACTTGAACCCAGAGTTTGTGAGGTTCTGTTATCAAGCTTCAGCCGTTTTTTATCATGAAGGATGTGTTCACATTACGTATAGACCGCAATCCCAACCCGCCAGGTTCCTTAGCCATGCAAACCTTATTCCAGCCAATTGCATGGAATCTTCTGTTGTTTCTACTTCCTCCCCATAAAAAATCTCGACATATACGATCTATCTCATCACACGTACTCCGTGGGAGGTAAACAGATTGCATGGTATACGAAGGAATGGTTGAAAGCACCGATTTACACAACGTGAGTCGTCCCATAAACAAGAGAGCAGAGGTTTTCCAACCACTTAATCACTAGTACAAAAGAGGTGTACTACGTCGGATATTTTAGCCTTTTTACGTCAGAAAACGTACCGACGTAGAAGCGGGAGACGTAAATTTTACGTCGGGGCTTCAAATCCGACGTAAATTTACGTCGGAAATTACGAAACCCGACGTAAAAAAGTCGTAAAAAAACAAAAAAAAAACTTAAGAACGCAGGCAGAACGGCCCGTTCTGCTTGGAGAACGGCCCGTTCTCCAAGCAGAACAGCCGTTCTGCTTGCAGAACAGGCCGTTCTGCTTGCAGAACAAGCCATTCTGCTTCGTAGAATAACAACAACAAAAACGTCCACTACCTACACAAATAAAACAACCAAAAAATTGAATAAAATAGATAACCAGAGTAGCAATGCTAAGTAGAAAAGTGCTAACGAAACCTTGTTTCATACCTGAGGAGCAGCAACAATGTGCAAATGAGTAACAAAGAGTTCATCCCTCTGCAAAAAACAAGAAAACGATTCAGTAACAAAGAAGAGGGAGAGGGTTTACAGAGAAAAAAATGAAAAGTGATGAAAAGTGAATGCGCGCGGTGTGCCTCGCGCTCTCTTATTCAAATTTGCGTCTTTTTTACGTCGGACCTGGTAGGGTGCGACGTAAATTGGACTTTTTACGTCAGACCTTCCCAGGTGCGACGTAGATTGGACTTTTTACGTCGGACCTTACCAGGTGCGACGTAAAAAAGTTCGCAAAAATTACAAAAATGCCACCGCATTTTTTTTACGTCGGATGTTCGTATTTCCGACGTAAAAGGGGTGACGTAATATGCTTATTTTCTACTAGTGAATCTTCTACTTACATGCTCTATTAAGCCTTGGTAGTCACGGTGGCATACTCTTGAATGATGGGCAGGTATACCTAAGTATTTCCCAAGGTTGTCTATGCACTGGTAGCCAAAAGTCGAGCTGATCTCTTCCCGAATAGAGTGATTCACATTTTTTGAAAAATAGATTCTAGTTTTCTCCAGACTCACCTTTTGACCAGAACTGGCACAAAAGAGGTCCAAACACGTTTTTATGATCTCGACTTGGTTTATGGATGCTTCCGCAAATAAGACTAGGTCGTCAGCAAAGGCCAGATGTGACAGAGGCCGTCCATCTCTAGATAACTTAATTGGTTTCCATTGATCCGAAGTAACTGCTGCTGAGATAAGTTGGAATAAACGTTCCATACATAAAACGAAGAGGTACGGAGAAATTGGGCCACCTTGGCGAATTCCACGAGAAGGAGTAAACTCCTCAAGAGCTTCTCCATTCCAAACCATGCGCAATCTAGGAGATAATATGGAGGCCCATATAAGGTTCACAAAGATTTGGGGAAGACCTATATCCTGCAGTGTGTCTTTTACGAAATTCCACTTTAGTCTGTCATACGCTTTCTCAAGATCAATTTTAATAGCCATCCACCCTTTGTTTCCCGATTTGTATCTCATGGAGTGAATAACTTCTTGGAAGATGATTATGTTATCTTTGCTATGCCGATGAGGAATAAAGCTACACTGGTTAGGGTGAACTAGTTTTCCCATCACTTGTCTTAATCTCTGAGCAAGGACTTTGGTCAAAATCTTGTAGGAAACATTACAAAGACCTATAGGTCGCATTTGTTTTAAGTGAGTTACTGCATCCTCTTTTGGAATTACCACAATTAAGGTTTCGTTGATATCTGCCACCTTCTTAGGATCTTTTTCAATTTCATGGATAAGTTGGCAAACAGCAGTGCCCACAGTATTCCACTGATTGTGATAGAATATTGCTTGTAATCCATCTGGGCCAGGAGCTTTAAGGCCTCCCATGCGTTTGACTGCAGTGAGTATCTCATCGTCTCTAATAGGCGCTCCAATAAAACTTATATCTCGTCATGCCTTAGTTGAGGGAATGCATTTGATAGGCAGAAGGGTTCAACTTCTCCTGTATCAATGAATAAATTTTTGTAATAGCTAGTAACCAAACTTTCCAACTCTTCCTTTTCTGTAACCCACTCATTATTATCATTCTTGAGCTTCAAAATCCTGCTTTTCCTCCTCCGTACTATTGTTGCTCCATGAAAATAGCACGTGTTTTTATCCCCCAGCTTTAACAACTTGCAGCGTGATTTCTGAAACCAGAGAATTTCCTCCCGCTTAAGGACAAGATCCAATTCTGCCCATAATTCAACTTGTAGCTTTTCCAAAAAATTGTTGGGGCCGAGTAGAAGCTCACGAGTGATCCCTTGCAGTCGTCTAAGTAGTCTCCGCTTAAGATAGAAAATATTCCCGAAGATAGTTTTATTCCACTCTATTAAGGACTGCTTCGTGTGATTTACTCATTGATTCCAAGCTTGGTGGACATTCCATTCTCGTCGCATGATATCAAAAAATCCATCATGGGTAAGCCAGGCAGCTTCAAAGCGAAAGGGTCTTCTAGTGGGACGTTCAGACCTATCGGGATTCAGCTTCAGCAGAATGGGGGAATGATCTAATTTCAGCGGATTTAGATGAGAGAGAGTTGCCTTAGGGAATAAAAGACGCCAATCATAGGATGCCAAAGCTCTATCAAGTCGTTCAAATAGTCTACCTCGACACCATGTGAAAGGAGCACCAATAAATCCCAAGTCTACCAGATTGCATTGGTTGACCCAGTCGCGAAATGCATTATCTCCTCGTATGCAAGAAGTACCAACTCCCCCTACTCTTTCATGAGAATAAAGAACAGCATTAAAATCCCTCATAACCATCCAAGGACCTTCCGTCTGGTCTGCAATGCCACATAAGTCTCTCCAAAGCTGCACCCAACCCTGAGGGTGAGGGCTTGCGTAGACCATAGTGCAAAACCAAGTTGAATGCTTGGCTTGGATCTGGAGATGAATAAAATGATTGGATTGCTTTAAAACTTCAACCTGCCATCTCCTTGAATCCCACAAGCACCATAATCCACCAGCATGTCCCTATGCTTGTATCATACAACATTTATCAAGATTAATTCTACGTACTACCTTTAGTCCATTGTCACCACTAATATGCGTTTCCATAAGGAAAAGTAGCCCAATATTATATTCTCTAATGATGTCGTTCATTAAAGTCGAGAAACCACAACTTCTAGCTCCCCTATAGTTCCAGCTTAAACAATTCATGAGGACATGTAGGGGTTGTTTGGATTTGAAATCCCTTTCGCCTCGTCACGGTCCTTCGCACTTAAGCCAGGGACGCTAGGAATATTAATCCTGTTGCTATACGAAGGGTCGAGATGCAATCTCATTGCATTCGCAAAAACCACTTGAAATCTAAAAACATCTCAAAGTAATAAAAAAAAACCATTTTTAACATTAAAAACAACTTTAAGGTGTATAACGAAATAAAAGGACCTATAGTCAATAGAAAGTCAAAATATAACAAACTTACCAAAATTAAAGAAATGTGAGACCTTGTCAATAGAAAATCCAAATATAACTAACTTACAAAAATTAAACAAACGTTAAAGCGGATAAACTAATTAATAAAAAAATATTTAACTTCAATTTTAAATGAGGTGCCTCCAACGTAGCGAGGAGATTAGTCACTGCTGTCGGCAGTGGATACTCCAGGGACGAACCAAAAAAAAATGTCGGTATTGGTACAATAATAGAAACAAACTTTTAATTATAATTTGTTTAATTTAAGTATATTAGGGTCAACACTCTCATTTTAGTTTAATTTTATTTATAATTTTAATTTAAAGATTAAGATGGAACACTTTCATTCTAACTCACATAAAAATGATATTATAATTATATATGTTTATTATATATATAACTTAAATATATTTTTAGTTATTATAAAATTAAGAAAAATATTTTTAATCCTTATAAAATATTTTATTTGTTTTCATTTCTCAAAATACAAAATTATTGTTTTTCTCCCTCTACTTTTATGTGAATTTTATTGATTGTTTATATGTTTAACTAAAAGGTAAATGAGTATTTCAAGTAACATTGATTTTAGGAATCCTCATGAAATAATGAGTTTTTAATGATTTTGTTAAATAAAAAGATTAATAAACTTACATACATAGCATATCTCATTACACTGGTGTTGGATAAAGATATACATAATCATAATTATACAATGCTACTAAGCTATGATATAATTTTGGTAGGTAAAACAAAAAAGTGGGGAGATGAAAATTTTAATATGAAAATAACATGTCAAGAGCACGAGGATTGAAAGCGAAGTGCGATTCAATTATATGTTAATTGTACCAAAAAGAATTTGGCCCGTCTCTTGTGGCGATGATATTAAAATGATTTTCCATACAATATTATGAATGGGTAAAGTCAAAATATTTCTATTTCACTCGGGTTTCACTTCTATATCATTTTACACCTGCACAAACTTTTGCAGCTTAGTTATAATAGTGAGCATTTAACAATAATTCATGTTCTACATTAAATTTTAACGATTTAATAGCTTAATTTAAAATTCTTAATACATAGATTAAATTTGCAAATTTTTAAAAAATTTAAAAATTATTTGATACTTCATTTCATTAATTCAAATTGATGGATAATTATAAAATCATTTTATACATTAATTCGAATTAATAAAATGAAGTATCAAATAATTTTCAAATTTTTTAAAAATTTACAGATTTAATCTATGTATTAAGAACTTTAAATTGAACAGTTAGATCATTAAAATTTAATGTAGAATATGAGTTATTGAACGGAAAGAATTCATCCTCATATATATATATAATTATAAATATAATTATAAAGTGAAGTTTATAATAACTAAACTTTGATATTTGATCTAAATTTGATAGTGAGTAATGACTAACTTAAGATATTTTTAACCTTAAAAAACTTAGAGGGATCATAAAGTATAAGTGACAGTACCACTTATACTAAACCTAATTAAAAATGTTAAAATATTTCAAAATATCACTTTGATAATATTTTTAAAATGTTATTTTAAATCTTTGTCAACATAAACTATACACAACATTGAAAATTATGCTTTGGAGACTAATGAGAGGATGCCTCCGACTAGACAAAGTTTACAAACGAAGAGAGTTGCATGCCCAACTATTTGTGCATTTTGTGAATCAAATCTTGAAAATGATTTACACCTATTCTTAATTTGGCTGCATTTGGGGCACATCGTATTCGAGAGGAGTCTAACTTTTGGACTACTATTCATCATAGAGTAGAAAAAGGAGAATAAGGCCTCACCGATGTTATATTCGAGCTCCTGAATACTCTATCAACACTTGATTATTGTGAAGACTTTGCCACTATCATTTGGACTCTTTGGTAGAGAGGTAATGACAAAATTTGGAAAACAAAGCTACAACCATAGATCTCCATCTTCATGACTTGATAGATTGGATGAACAAAAACAAGCAAGAGCAAAAGAGTCTTGTCAATCAACACACTTATCTGACTCCCTGCAACAGCTCTAAACACGTCCTCCTAAAAGCGCACTAAAATGCAACATCAATCCAACGATATTTTTTAATAAGACAACTAACTTCAGAATGGGTTTGTGTATTAGAAAAGAGCCTCGTTAAAGCTATAACTATATGCCACAATGGCACACTGCCTACCCACAAAGCAAAAGTTTAGCAATACGTGTGAAGCCATCAAATGGCTCAAAGAGCTTGGACAATCATGTAGTCATCAAATCTAATTGTAAAAAAGTTGTAGATGACTTGTAGAGACACATTATCCATTACTCTTAATATGTATTTTTTATAGAGACTCATTATTAATTCTAATAAGAATTTTGAGATTAAGTTCATTGGAAGACGAGTTAATCAAGTCACTCATATATTTACAAGAACGTCAAAATCTTTTACTAATCACAATGATTTTGATTTTATTCCAACTAATATTTTTCATTTTATTATGAATAAAATATCATAAGTCTTTTTTCTTTAAAAAAAAACTATAAATAATATTTGATAATATATGTCCAAAAATTAGTAAATTAATAACATTAATTTATACATAATTAAGCAATATTTTTTAAATATTGCCAAAAGTTTCTTTTGTTGCAATACATGTTTATATTGTTGTAACTTTAAGTGTGGCTTTTAAATAAAACTTAATAACATTATTAAAATATTTTTTTACAAGAAATATTATAAAATACTATAAAATACAACTTAAGTATAACATTTTTAAAATATTGTCATTAATATATAAAAATGTTATTAAAAAATTTTTATAACATAAATTATATACAACATTTAATAATATGTTGTGGAAATAAACTAACACATATTGAAAAAGTTCCTTTTGTTACTATGTATGTTTATATTGTTATAACTTTTAAGTGTAGCTGCCAAATAAATATCAAAACAAAATATTATCAATAAGTTGATTTTAGAAAAAAAAAAAAAAAAAAAAAAAAAAAAAAAAAAGGTCAATAAGATGTCTTAATCCCTTGTAACACACTTTAAGATTATATATAAATGTTAAGCATTATCTTATCACCAAATAATATCATACATTATATCAAAGTTGCATTCAAAATTTAATTTAATAAATTAGCGATTATGCACTAGTTAACAATATCATACTTTTTATAATAGAAAAGTTTAATTACACTTTGATCTCTATAATTTTATAATTTTTTTTATAATTAAAAACATTCTATTTTAATCTCTATCTATACTAATATTTTATCTTTTTTAATTTCCATCGTCTATTTTTATAAAAACTGAAAGGTAAGGTTTATGTAATTATATAGACTAAAAATAAAATAAAAATTATATGTATAGAAACTAAAATGAAATATTTTTAATTGTATGAGTTAAAAAATAAAGTTTATAAAACTATATATAGAAACTAAAATAGTAAATACAACAAATAAAAAATTCTTTATATAAATAAATTAGTTCTAAAATAATTACTACATTTTTCTTTTAATTTATTTTATATATAACTTCGTGCAAGAATTTTTTAAAAATAATTTTTCTTTTTAATAAGATACATAAAGCCATGAGATTAATGAACTAGCAAGTTGTCTCGATTATCCAATCACGTCCCATATTAGACACGAACTAGATATAATGAAATTTAAATTAAAGCCAAGCCAAACTTTAATTGAGCTAACGTTATTGTAAACAAATCTACGCAGTTGGATCTAACCCACACACTTACTGTAACAAGTTTTGGATCAGTTTTCATTGTTTTAGTCATTTTTTGGCGTTAGCCAGCTTTTGTTTTTTTATGCTATTATTAGAACCATCCAAATTGAAATCTTAATCATGATCATTAATGAAACTTGTTTCGCTAAACTTGCAATGGAAAATGATTACATTTGGAAAAAATTCAAAAAAAAAAAAGGGGGGGGGGGGGGGAATAACGTTTCTGCAAAATACATGCATGAATCAGAAAAAGAGAAGAGGGTTTATTTGAAGGGAAAGCAAGAATGATCCATTTAGGTTCATTAGTTGTTCATTCCTGTTGCATTCTTCACAGAATCAGCAGCTCCTTGTGCTTTTGCCTTCATTTGCTGCCCCGCCTATATACACAACATAATAATATAACTCATTATTACTTTCAAGGGTCCAATTTAAATTTATTAATAAAGGTAAATATGGCTCAATTGACATCATTCTCAATCTATTTGATTAGTACAAAAGTTGAAAAATTAAATATATTGGAACCTCTTGCATGGATTCTTGAGCAGATTGAGCAGCATTGCTAGCCTTGTCCATCATGGTGCTAGCCTTTTCCTATGTAGCACAAAAAGAATTTAATTCGGCTAGATTCATGTCTCTCTCATAAGAGAAATATTGTAATGAAGCTCATATATATATATTAAAAAAAAAAAAAAAGTTAAAGGCAAACCTGAGCTTGGCCCTTGGCCTGTCCAGCATTGTAGCTCATGTTTTGGGAGTCCATCTTGATTAATTCTTGTATTAAACGAATGAAAGTGAAAATCTCAAGTGTTGTTTTACCTTTTCGTATGCTTATTTTCTCACTCTTTTGATTGTAACTTATATAGTTTCTCAATGTGTTACAACATTCGACACGTGTTTCTTCTCATGTTTTCATACACAAATTTTGATTCACATTTTCCTCCTTCACTTGCGTTTTCATGGGCACATGTCGTGCCATTCTTGGAAAGTGACTTCAACACTTGAATTGTTCATCAACATACGTGCATGCATGCGGAGGAGATTCATTCATCATTCCAAAGTGTCCTTACCTTCAGCTTGGACGAGTTCTTTTTTTTCTTTTTCTTTTTTTTTGCAAAAAATAGGGAATTTTTCATTCCATTATATCATGCCTGAAATGTTGGGTAGAAAAGTATACAAATTATTGAAAATGCTGCAAATTACTATGTGCTTCACGGTTGATAGCTGTAAGAATTTTCTTGAAACATTATCGTGAACTTGCCTTATGCGCACATGATTCTAGAATAATATATAATAGAATATCACTAATTGTAATAGAAAAGTGAAGAAGCATGTAAAATATTATTTTAATATCAATCGCCTTATAGATGGTGGTGATGCCTTTATATAGGCAACTTCAGGTGCTGTGAAATAATATACATTTTAAAATCGAGAATTATAATTTAAGTGGTGTAAGAAATGAATATAGGGTTAAAGAGATGGAAAAAAGAATCTGTTTAAATCTTTTAACTAAAAGTTTACTAATTATTAACATTTATTGAATAAAAAATAACACATTTACTATTTGAATCAAAGTCATATTACCACTCCTCTTCTATTCAACTACATCTCTTTTTATTATCTTTTCATTCTGATAAAAATTATTAGTAGTATTAGAGTTACCTTCAATCCTCTATTGATAGTAGATATATTTTCTAATTACTTTTTAAAAAATTCAATTATATTTTATATAAAGTTTAAAATATTTTTTTGAACTCACACCATTTTTCAACATCATCTATCCCAGACCTTATTTTTATAGGAGAAAATTATGATTTTTAAAATATTAAAATAAAGGCATCTTTTTGTTTACAAGATTTAAAAGATATTGTAATAGATGAGTTCATTATTCTTTAAGACATCACAACTCTTACATCAATTCAGGACAAGGAGTTGAAAGCAAATAAGCAATAAAACTCAAGGGAATTATTTGTTCTATAACTAACAGTAACTGATATAATATTTTTCAAGATTAATGAGTAACACAAGTATAAAGGAAGCATGAGATACACCGTAGG